GTGAACGTAAATATATATATATATATATATATATATATATATATATATAATCTGTTGTTCTGATAATTTAACGAGAATTGTTAAATAAATTACAATAAATTAAAAATGTTAATAGAAGAAAAAATGCGTTAACGTTAATGAAATTAAATTTTAGCCAACTAATTATTGAAGACAGAATCGTATATATATTTATATTATCAGAACTTGAAAAGTTATTTTAAGCTACACCGTGGCCTAGCCCAGCGTTTTTCAACTTGTGATACGCGTACCCCTAGGGGTACACCAGCTGTTGCCAAGGGGTACGCAAAAAAACTTTAAAAAAAACAAAAAATATTTTAAGAAAGCTATTTTGTACAAAATCAGAGAAAACAGGATTATAGTGACAGTCAGCAGAGTATTTAACAATATTAAATACAATATTCTATAAATTCTACCGAATGGTTAGAATACCTAACCATTCGGTAGAATTTATAGAATATTGTAAAAATTATGGTCTATTACCAACATTTACAATATTAAATACTAAATATTTTATATAGCAGATTATAGATAGAATATTATTCTGACTTCCATGGCAAAACGAAATGAGAATTCGCAAAATCTCATGTCCTATTTGCCAGGGCTATTTTAATTTATTATAATTATGCATTCAGCGGATGGCAGAAGCTCACACTGTAAACTTGTAAAGTTTAAACTTAATAGCTTACGGCCATATTTTACAAATTTACCCCATGTGCTTCTGTTATCTGCTGAATGCATATTAAAATAGAATTAAACGTTGATTTTTTGTTATTTTTTCTTTGTTTTGCTATTCTTTGTTGTCATTACACAAAAATAAATTAATGAACCTCATATTTTATCTTAATTATTAATAAATACAATTTAATTTAAAATATCGGAATTAATTATAAAAACATTTACTAAAATTTCTTAGATAAAGTTAAAAACAATGGATAAATGGCTCAAACAACAACCATTAAAACGAAAGTCATCCTCTAGCATCGCAACTGAGCCGATGCTCAGCGCAGATGTCAGTGCAGATTCAGACTCGGATGATGACAATCAAAAACTGCGGAAGATTAGGCGATATGATGAGAAGTATTTGTCTCTTGGATTTTCGTGGTGTGGTGGAGAAAAAGAACCAAGGCCACAGTGTGTCGAATGTAATGAAAAATTATCAAATCATTCGATGAAACTATCATTACTTCAACGTCACTTTAATACAAAACATGCTCTTCTCACTAGAATTTTTCAAAAGAAAAGAAGTTGAATTGAAACATTATAGGAGCACCTTAAAAATCATTCACAGGGGCTAACGCTAACTCACAAGCTTTAGAGGCGTCCTATTTGGTAAGTCTGAGAATTGCTCAAACTGGGAAACCACACACTATTGGGGAGATTCTTATATTGCCTGCAGCTAAAGATATTGTGTCATCCAGGAAAAAATGCTGCCAATAAACTAAATGTCGTTCCATTGTCCGATAATACAGTTTCTCGAAGAATTCATGATTTAGCATCAGATGTAAAAACCATTCTTATTAAAAGAATCCAAGCAAGCAAATACTTTGCAATTCAGTTAGATGAACGTACAGATGTTACAAACTTTGCACAGCTAATGATGTATGTTAGGTATGAATTTGAACAGTCAATTGAAGAAGAATTTTTGTTCTGTGAGTCTTTATCAGGCCGGACAACAGCTTTAGAAATATTTAAAAAAGTTGATGATTTCATGACTTTAAATGGAATAGATTGGCAGCATAGTGTGGGAGTGTGTTCTGATGGTGCAGCTGCGATGACTGGCAAATATGGTGGAGTAGTTATGCAAATTAAACAGGTTGCACCAGAAGCAAAATTCACACATTGCAGTATTCACCGTGAAACTCTTGCTACCAAAGCCATGTCTGCTAGTTTGAAAACTGTTTTAGAACAATCTGTTAAAGTTGTTAATTTTATAAAATTTCGGGCTCTCAATTCTCGTTTGTTTTCAATAATGTGTAATAAAATGGGAAGTGACCATAAAAAGCTCCTTTTGCACACAGAGGTACGATGGTTGTCACGTGGAAAAGTGTTATCTCGACTTTTTGAACTACGTTCAGAAGTGCAAATATTTCTCATGGACACTGGATTTCAAAAGGCCGATTTATTTCTGAATGAGTTATGGTTAATGGTTAGGTTGGCGTATTTAGCTGACATTTTTGGTAAACTGAACGACTTGAATTCTAGTTTGCAAGGACGAAATATAACTCCGTTTGTTGTTGTTAACAAAATAAATGCAATCGTTAGGAAGCTACAGTTCATGGTTTCAGATGTTGAACAATTTCAAGTAACAGCATTTCAATCACTGCACACATTCTTGACTGAGAACGAACTTCAACTGCATCCTAACATGGCTGAAGATATCAAGAACCATTGTTCTTAGTTAATTTTGAATTTTCGAACCTATTTTCCTGAAAACTTTGATGACAAAATTTGGATAAGAAATCCATTTTCTGATGCTGCATTGCCAGCTGACTTTTCTGTTCATTGAACTTTCGTGTGATGGTGGATTAAAAAATGAATTCAACAAAGACTTGTTGAGTGATTTTTGGCTGAAAAGAAGAGAAGAATATGGATTAATTTCTGACAGAGCTTTGAAATTTTTGATCCCTTTTAGTACTTCGTATCTCTGTTAAACTGGATTTTCTGCAATGTTGGCAATAAAAAACAATTACAGATCAAAACTTGAACTTGAGCCAGACCTGCGTCTAAAATTGACATTAATAAAGCCTGACATTGCAGAATTGTGCAAATCTAAGCAAGCCCAGTGCTGACATTAACATGATTATACTTTTATTGTGACAATGAGCTGAACTCTCTGACTCTTTGTCTTAGCAGAAAACTATGATTATTAGGTTTTTATTAGCATAATAATTATTATTAGCAGGACTATATTTTCATGTTTTTCAAAAAGATTTCAAAAATAAAAATAACATTGTTTTCGATTAAATTAATTTTGGCATGAAACCATAATAATTTTAATATAATATTAATATTGTAATAAATTTAGTAAAATGTATAAGCAGATAGGACTGTCACTAAAGTAACTGTACTAAAATAACCAAAATTTACTAAAATAGCTAAATTACTAAAAAAATAAAGTTTCTGAGAAATTTTTGTCTGATGAGAGTACGTACGCAAATAACATTTTAACTTTGGGGTACAACAAAAAAAGGTTGGGAACCCCTGGCCTAGCCAACAAGAAAAACAATTTTTGATTTATTTGATTATGATAATTTTATTGCTAACACGTCTGATCTTTATACTAATGAAGATTTCATATCTGCTTTGAAAACTCTGAAAACTAAATTGGAAACTCAAAATTTGGATAAATTAGAAAAGTTAGTTGGTCGTGGCTGTACAAAAAAGAAAAACTCTTAGATTGTGTCACAATTTTGAAATACTTGAAAAATATCAGTATTTTAGATAAATGTTCGTTATTTGCCAGTGTTAATCTGGATAAAGTTCCTAACCTTGATAATATAATTGAAGTTAATTTCAAAAATCTGAAAAATGAAATTAAAGAAATGTTGTACGCTCAACAGGTAAAAATTGTGAATGCAATAGACATGCACGGCATTGAAATTTCAACATTGAACAACAAGATAAAAAATTGTTTAGCGTCTAAACAAGATAACAATAATTTTGCCAGTCATTCGAGTAATATTTCAACGACAATATTTCCGGAAAAAAAACAACATCGTAACTATGCCTAATTCAGCTACACTATGGTCAGATATAGTTCAATCTCCACTTGAAGACAACCCTTTGCCATTCAGTGTTGTTACTCGTAACAAAAAAAGTCCAAGACTTAACAATTCAACTGAAACCGTTCAACCTAATCCTGCATTTACTAGCAACAAATTGGAATCATTAAAATTACCCACTAAAATAGTTGGCGCTAAAAAAACGACAATAGTAAACTCAGTGCTGATAAAACATTGTTTAAAACATCTGTGTTTTCCATGAGCAGCCTCAAAAAATGTAGCAGAAGTAATGTGATTGACTACCTACGGAGGTGGGTATTCATGTAATTTTCTAGAAATATTTCCTACAGATCACTTGAGCAGATAAACTTTTGTTTATCTAATGTATATATACATATATACAATTATTGATGAAAATCAACGCATGTTCGGCGTTTGTTAACTTAGTTCATGTTCCTCTTAACTTAATTCTTATATATACTATATATATATATATATATATTTTTACAATATTCTATAAGTTCTACCAACATATATATATATATATATATATATATATATATATATATATATATTGTATATAACTTTGAGACGCTAACAATCATCCTTGCAGCCGCATTTAACACAGTCTTGTAGAAATAAGGTAAGCCCGCGCATTTTCAAATTTGAAAAATCAATTCTGAGGAACCGTCTGATTCTTTTTATTATATGGTGTTGAAAAAAACAATTTTCGCAGATGCTTTTAAGGTGCTTATCTATGGGCAGACTCAAATCAAGAACTATACTGAGATCGCCCACCGATGTCTTCAACTCGTTTATTGAGTTTAATATTTGCGTGTTGTCAACCCAATGTGTCAATGTGTTTCGTTTTTTGACATTAAGTCCCAATTTGTTGGATGGCATCTACCGCTCCACAGTATTTATTGAATTTGATACATTTTGTTGCAGATGAAGTGGTAATTTTATTGAGCAGGACCATATAATTGAGTGTCAACTGCATACAAATGACAATGAAGGCTTGCTTCTTCTACGACTCTGATGATGTCAGCCATGTATAACACGTACAGCAACGACGCATGAACTGAATCCTGCGGTACTCCACGCGTCAGATCAGAACTTACAACATGATTCTTTGATGCCCATAGACACCGTTTGGGTTCTTGATGATAAGTACGATGAAAACCAATCGAGGACTGAAATTTTAGTTTGAAATATAATTTTATGATCGACGATATCAAATGGTAAACTAAAGTCTGGTAGAGCATTCATGGCAATGTTTGCATCATCGGCTGCGCAGCATACATCTGAAAGTTCCCTCAACAAGCAACATTGAGAATAGTTTGTTTGAGACTTTTGGTAGAAAGAAAATCGCAATCAAAAACTATTTTTAGCGGTATATGGTTTACGACGTCGTGCGATGTGTTGTACGCACGAGATGGAAGGTTACTAAAACTTACTCGGAGAATAAACAGACCTTGTAATTGATTGACCAGAATCATTCACGTTTCGTACATTAACACTCATAAAATTTCAACGAAGAATTTGTTTAGTTTGTTGACCATGTTAAACCTAATTTCGTTTTCAATTTTTTGAAACATTTTATCGCTTTCAATAATTTACATAATTTTCCATTTGTGTTTTATTGTTGAAAAACCTTTTTATTTATTTTCAAAAAGTTTTATTCAGTTGATCTTTGAGTTTTGTAAATTAATTTGAATTTTTTTTAGGTATGTTTGTTCAAAACAAATGGATTCATTAAATATTATTTATATAAAGTATTTTCAAAAAAAAAGCAATAAATATATGTAGAGGTAAAATTTTCTTCATGGTTTTCAAAAACGATTTTTTGTATTTAAAACAGGCCGGCAAAAGTAATGCAATTTTATAAAAACTTAAAAAATTAGATTCTGTACCAATCTAGTCTATAAACAAAATTACATTGCGCCACTGACTACATGTATTTACTAGTATAGCTCTTTTTAAAACTTTCAGAATTCAATAAACGAGTTTTATAATACAGCTTCTGTGATTCACCAGATTTGATTTTTTAATAGCCAAAAAGAAATATTGGGAATGCAACCATTTATTCTTAAAAGAAATATCGTGAATATATAAATAACATAAAAACAAATTTATGAATAAAGAGAAAAATAATGCAAATATGGGCTCCACGATAGAACATGAAGATTTATAAACCATCGCAAACAATATATAATCTTATTTGTTCGTTCATCGAGGCAATCACACGCCTTGGAGCAGATCTATTTAACCGAAGGTTAATTAATTTTGCTAATGCATATTGCCGATCATTCAAGTAATTCCTCACAAAATTACATCTCACTACCTACATCAGTACGTTATCATCGTTGCTGGAGCAATATTTCAGTTATGAATCATTTTTAGTGCTTCTGTTTGGCGATCGCAATAAGAAAATTGCGTTCATCAGTACATTTACAAGATTATGCTTGTGTTTGCCATGCCATGTCAACTTCGGTCGTCAAATGAAAGTCAGTCAACATAGCGCATAGCGTTAAGACTGTCATAGATACAATTGTTAAGAAATATCACTGCATTTTCAGCTTTGACCATTTTCTGGTTCAATTTTTCAATATTTCGTATTTTTATCATAGTTTTTGAATATATTTAAACAGATAGCAAAGTTTTAACTTATTGTTATTAACTTATCATTAATGAATAAAAAAGTAGTTAAAAATTTTGTTTTCTATATAAATAAGTTAAAAAACGATGATAAAAATGCGATACGAAATATTGAAAAATTGAACCAGAAACTGATCAATGCTGAAAATGCAGTGATATTTTTAAACAATGTATCTACGACTGATAATTATATATATATATATATATATATATATATATATATAATGGTAGAAGATCGAATTCTTGACAATATATAATAAATTCCACCTTTATCAACTTGTATTCGAATTTTTCAATTTGTCTGAGTAAATTTTTAACGACAAGATGAGTCTGTTTGAAATTGAAGCTTTATTTTTATTAACAAACATTTATATATATATATATATATATTATATAAATACATGTATATATACTTATGTATATATATACATCTATATATATATATATATATCCTTCCTTGGAGTTATTATTTCTAGCAATTTATCCTGGTCTAGTCACATTCAATTTATTTCACAAAAAATTTAGGCATAATTTACGACTGAGATCTAAGTTTCCTCAACATATTCACTTATTTTACCATTTTTTAGTTATTATATTTCTATTTGGGGTTTCACTACAAAATCTAATATTCAAATTTTACATCTCTGTCAAAACTTTTTTATTTGTATTTTGTTTGGTTTATTTAAATCTGATCATGTAAGTCATTTGTTTCTTTCATCCACAATTTTAAAAGCTCATCGACTACATATTCTACACACTTTAAGGTTTTTTTTTTTTTATAACACCAATTTCTATTTTCCTAAACCTCACACAAACTTTTTTATAAATTCAGTTTTCCGTGTTTCTTGTAGACTTTGGGACTTATTACCGATCCAGGTAAAAAACTCAAACACGCTTGGATTTATTTAAGAAATCAATCTTGCAAATGATTTTGACGAACCATTTTTATTCATTCATTAATGTTAATTAAAGTTTTTTCTTGTAAAATTATGTTATTTAGTTTTATTATCTTATTTATTAGAAGTTGGCAATTCAGTTTATGTTTATCAATTGCTAAAAATTTATCTTGTTTATATTAATCTCTTTAACATTTTTTGTTGTATTTGGTAAATTGCTCGGTTCAAACTTTTATTTCGGTAGTCCAAAAAGTGGAAACTTCGGGTCTCATAGTAATGTATTTCTTTAAAATACTTTACTGAACAAAGTTTATTTGAATTGAATATATAGACGTACGAAAAAATGGCGACAAGGCAAGTGGTAATAAACGAATTGCTTTATTTTTTGGCGAATAACCTAGATTTCCTCGATGACGAAAGTTTCGTTAATAACACTTCGGAATGCTTTTTAAATGAGGATATTGTTACTGCTACTAAATTTTGAAAAACGAACTGGAAAAACTGAAAATTGACAACATTGACAAAATATCATCGCGCGGCTCATCGAAAAAACATAAATTGCTCGAATATGTTTCGTTCTTAAAATACGTAAAAGGTAATAATTTAATGGAAATTTTTCCGATATTTGTTAGCGCAAACATGTCGAAAATTCGAAAAGCTGAAAATTGGATGAAAATCAATTTGGAATAATTTAAAAATGCAATAATAGAAATTATAAACAACAGGTGTCTAAAATCAACGAGTTGTTGGACATAAACAAAACAATTTTAAGCCGATTAGCAGGTACGGCTCCGGGCACAAGTTTAAATAAGGTTTGTAACAGATGATAGCAAAAATGATGTTGAGTTCACCCTGATGCAACGCGTTAGAAATAAACCAAAGCCAAGATTGCTTCCATCTACGGTCGCTTAATCTAATTCAACACAAGTTGCTCAGCATAACTAAAAAATTGAAGCTAAAAATCGAACAAGCCAAAAAAGTTATCGGCAAGCAAACCACATGCTCTTCCAGCATGAAGCCGATGAAAATTGAGCCACGTAAGAAAATGGTTTACGTGGGCAAACTCGATCAGTGTACACCGGAAGATGTCATCTGCCATTTGAAGTCTATTAACGTGACTGTCATATCATGTAAGCCGTTAATCAAATCTGTCTTCAACAAAAAAAATAACAGTATTAACTCAGATACTCAAGATTTAGCTACGACAAAAACCAGTGCAGCATTTATAATTTTATTTTATGAATCTGACTTTGACAAAGTAATGGATGAAAATAATTGGCCAAGTAACGTTATTTTACACGAATGTTGTTTCTATAATTCCCATAGTCCGCAACCAATCAATAACCTTGTTTTAAAATCTTCCAACAATGGTTAATACAACAACTTTAAATTTGTTGGATTCTGAAAGGCAATTTCAAAATTATTTTTTCAACAAATGTGTCATCATTTCGTGTTTTTCTAAAATTTATGAAAAAATTATTAAAACCAGAATAAATTCATTCTTGGAGAAAAATAAAATTTTAACTGACCAACAATTTGAATTCAGAAAAGGCCTTTCAACAGAAAATGCATTAATCAAATTCACCAATGACATCACTTTCAACCACAAAAATAATCTTCATTCTTTTGAAGTTTTTGTTGATTTTTCAAAGGCGTTTAACAGACCGAAGCCAGTATGTTTCTATTAATGGTATATCATCAGCGCTGCTAATTGTTAGTGAAGTTCCCCAGGGTAGTGTGCTGGGTCCGCTTTTTTTTTTATTAGTCTTTAGTATTGCAGCTCTGACATACGCAGAACCACTTACAATGTTACAAATATATATAATCTATATATCTTTTATTATGTTCTTCAAATCCTAATCTATTGATTTGAAGCAGCCATTTTTGCCACAAAGGCTGTTTATCCTTTTCACACGACGAACACATTTTATGTGCACGCGCAAGCACCGCATCATATACGCTGAGTATATGATAGCCATTGAGATGTTTGACTCAGCGAGTATTTGAACTACTGAGCTATCTCGCCGGCCAACATGAGACAACTTCGTCGTCTACCCATTTACCAACCTCAAAAAAATGGACGGCTGGGTTGACCGGGGATCGGTCACACGACGAACACATTTTATGTGCACGCGCAAGCACCGCATCATATACGCTGAGTATATGATAGCCATTGAGATGTTTGACTCAGCGAGTATTTGAACCACTGAGCCATCTCGCCGGCCAACATGCGACAACTAACGTCGTTTACCCATTTACCAACCTCAAAAGGATGGACGGCTGGGTTGACCGGGGATCGGCTACCCGGATGAACCTGTAGAAACTGCAGAGTTCGAACCCGGGTTGTGGGAGTGGTAGACGGACACGCTAACCACTCGGCCACGAGACCTTTTTATTCAACATTTTCTTGAATGACGTAACTAATTCTTATTCAACACTATCTCATAGTGTTATTTCTGCTAATGATTGCACTATTTATTCCAGATTACATGACCTAGCAGATCTAGTTTCAAATACCAACAGATCCTTATCAAATTTATTTCACTGGGCAACCCTAAATCAGATTTCGATCAACTTCAAAAAAACAAATTTCATGATATTTCCGAACAAAAAAACCTGCCGTATGGATGATTTTCCAGTAATTATTAATGAAATCCCTATTCAAAAGGTGGACACCTTCAGATTACTGGGAGTTTATATTCATGATAAATTAAATTACAAGAAACACATCTCCAACATCATAACCAAAGTTAACGTCAATTTAGGGATAGTCCTCAGAACAAGAAAATATTTAAACCACAACACTCGCAAACTGCTTTATTATTCGTTTTTCTACTGCCATTTTTATTATTGCAACTTAGTCTGGAGATGTGCAAATTCAACAACGATAAATAAGTTATTTTCGAGTCAAAAAAGATTGGTCGCGCATCTATTTCGGAAGAACTTTTTTATATCAAATATAAACATTTTCAATGAGAATAACATTTTAACAATATTTGAAATTAATTCATATAAATCCTGTCTCTATATATATATATATGTATATATATATATATATATATATATATATATATATATATATATAATTGTTAATATTATTTTTACTTCTGACAATCACTTGCAACAAACTCTTACATTTTCCAAAAACAACATTTCGTCTAGGCATAATAACAAACTATTAATTAACACTTTATTAATTAAAGATAAATTTGTAGGAAGAAATTTCTGCTCTTATGGTCCGCTCCATTGGAATAAACTGCCTTACTATATTAAATCTAATGTAATTTATAATTCTTTCAAAAAACAATTGAAAACATATTTTTTATGCTGTTCACAGCGTAAATTGTTTTATTTTATTTCGTAATCATAATATTGACTCAATTTCTCTTTTTTTGTTATCCCTAATTTTTAATATCATTTAAATTACTCTAGATGTATATGTATTGCTTAATTTTTCAGTTTATATTTTTATTCTTGGTTATGTGTAAATTCTGTTGAATTAGTTGAGATTTATTCTGTTCACGAGGCCATCCATAAATTAGTATTTTATTGCTAGGATGAACCTTTTTACTTTTGTAAATAAAACTGTTAAAAAAAATTCTTGCTGATAACCTAAATCCATATGCTGTTGGTTATTCAAATTTATAATTTTTTCATTTATATTGTAGAAGTTTATTTAATAAGTTGATTTTTTAAATTTTTTTATTTGATGATTTAAGTTTTCATTTTTTTGTTATCGGTTTATCTGAGACCTGGTTAACCGATGGTTTATCTTCTTTAACCTCGCTACCGGGCTATTCATTCACTTTCAAAAATCGGGCGAATAGGTCTGGTGGTGGTGTTGCGTTTTTTGTAAAAAATGGTATTATTTATATTCCACGAAACGACATAAGTTTTAATGAGGCAAGTTGTGAAATTTTTTCCATAGAAATATTTATGGGTTATAACAAAAGTATTATTATTACCTTGATTTATAGACCACCAAATTCCAATCCTTATTTATTTTTTCAATCGCTATCCGGTTTTTTCCCTATAAAATATTATATTTGATGGGAGATTTTAATATAGACCTTCTTAATGAAGACACGGTTTCCATTGAGTTCACTAATTTACTGAACTCTTATTATTTTATCCAATTAATTGATAAACCTACTAGTCACTTCAAAATCGTCTACACTCATTGACAATATTTTCTGTAATCATCTAATTGATCATGTCTGGCATGGTCCAAATGGATATTTCAGACCATTTTGCAATCTATACCACATTTCTTTTAAAATCACAAATTTTAGTCAATCAATCTAATTTTAAACGTCACAATTCTTCGACAAACACACATTTCGATAAATGTGTTAAACCCTGTCCTTGAATCAGCAGGACTAAGCGTCTTAATCATTACACCATCTTGTTGCCCTTATAATTACGTTGACAATGATATTTTCAAAATAATAGCGGTAATGTTATCCATTGCTTTTATTTGTTGTTTATAACGTAAAGTGTCTTGTTATATTTAGGTATGTTAAATTTGACCGGTTGGTGTTTGAATGAATAGTTTAAACTAATTCGAATCTAATAATAGGAATAAATTTGGTTATAAAACTCATTTTGCTGTTTTACAAGTTAGACAAAATTTCAATCAAATAGGCCTTTGATACATTTTATTAAAATAATTTTACATAATATAACAGAAAAAAAATTACTTTCAACTCAAAATATCATTAATAATGCTGTAACATTAAAATTTAAACACTAACTTATTGAAAGAATTGTGTGGCTTTGCGCAACACAACAACATACCGACGTGTTTTCAGTGAGACAATCAAGTGCTGAAATAATGTTCTTTTGTATGTGGACTAGTACAATGCTCTAAGCTTTGTTTGCACCAATAAAATACAAACATTTCATACTATGAAAGCCGTCTAGATACGTTACTGCACAGAACACAATTTTTAATAGTATGCAAGAAATGTCAATGAACCATGAAGGACCTGTTGAAAAAAAGTGTTTAAGATTCGAAAATTAATATAAAAATTATTTGTCAGTTTCGACGGTGTATATATTGCAACCGCTTGTTAGGAGTAAATTTTCATAATGAACAAATTAATCTTATACTCAACCTGCTACAATATTTTAGCATTTTTGCTGATCGTTTCATCTGATTCTGAAATTAAATTTGAGTGCGGCGGTCTCGACAATTTGGCACCATCAACATCGGGAGCACCTTTTCAACTTTCACTCTTCGATCAGGATAATATACCAACAGGCTTCTATCATAAAGACAGCTACGTAAGCGGTAATAAAAATTATTTTATTTGTTGAGTGTTTTGACGAATAATAATGTAACAAATTAAATTTTATGCTCCAGTTCAGTTGAAATTTTCTGGTTCGTTGGCTATCAGATCGATCATGATTCAGGCAAACAAAGTTCTGGAGAAACAGCCTGTAGGCTCCTGGAAAGTGGTTCAACCTCAATCCAAATTGGACATCAGGTCATGCGTCAATACCAACGATACCTTAATTGGCGATAGTAAAGAAATAGATGTGCACGAAAACATACAAGCAGTTTGGTATCCTCCACCCCAGTTTTATGAATCAATCGAATTTATGTGAGTTGTCGTTGTTAAACAATTTTTAAAATGAAAACAAATGTTGCAAACTGTTTATTAAATTTTGATATATATTGTATATATGTGTACGTTAAATGTATAAAAACGTACATGTAGATTCAAGTTGATTTCTCTTAACCGGCAGATTAGCAGTGCGTCTACGCCATCGACCAAAATATATAAAAATAACAATATTGCACATTGAGATAATAAATGCACTAAGTTGGTGTTTTAGCACGGACTACTTATAGTAAGCACTCGTACTAGCCGGCCGTACCCGTAGTAGCAGGTCGGCAAATTCTCAAATACTTCCCAAAGTCTCAATGGTAATAGTGAATGTTGTCAAACATATCTAGAGAGCACGATTTCTGCCTTTTTAAACCGAGTTTACATGCACTCTTTTGATATAGAACTATCATAACTAACTAACTATAATAGATAACTAACATAACTTAACATAAATAACATAACTAATTATAATAGATAGAATAACTAAACTACTTATTAATAATGGATATAAAAATTCCATGATCCAAATAATAATAGAACGCAAAGAACAAAAAAGCAGCAACAAGAACAATGCAACCAACAATAGTAGGGATGCACCGGATTTAAGTTTTCCAAGATTTAAAATTCAAAAACCGGCCGGGGCCGGGGCCGGAGCCGGGGCCGGATTTTAGTTACATTTTTACATACGTTAAAAAAATACATTTACGGTTATCTACATGCTGAACATCAAAAAACAACACCAAGTAAATAGTTAATTAATTCAAATATATAAATAAGTTGTGTGATATGCCAAATTCTGTACACAAAGATCAGCTTATAATTTATGCATAACCCGTGTTATAGCATAAAGAAAATTGTCCAGCTCACCTCACAATTAGTGATGTTGTTATTATGTGCCATGAATGCACGTGCACAGCTTATAATTTATGCAAAACCCATGTTATAGCACAAAGAAAATTGTCCAGCTCACCTCACAATTAGTGATGTTGTAATTATGTGTCATGCATGCCTAGCCTAACCTTTAACATACCATGTTCTTAAACTATGCGCTTATATATATATATATATATATATATATATATATAATATGTAACTATATGATTCATTATATACAATAATATAGTATATACACGTGCACAAGTTCTTTTACACAAAGATCAGCTCATAATTTATGTATAACCCATGTTATAGCATAAAGAAAATTGTCCAGCTCAACTCACAATTAGTGATGTTGTTATTATGTGTCACATATGCTTAGCCTTTAACTTATTGAATTCAATACACAATTTTTTCTATTTATAACATTTTTAAATGTTGATAGACGCTTAAATCCGGTCCTAAATCCGGCCACCGAATCCGGCCGGGCCCGGATTTAAAAAAAAGCCGGATTTTGGCCGGAGCCGGGGCCGAACTTCGGTGCATCCCTAAACAATAGTAACAAAAATAACGTAGTAATATATTATAAGAATCACATGTCAACCGCTTTCGAACAGGATGAAAAAATTATGAAAAGAATCATAAAAAAAAACGTCCAAGCAGCCAACGAAAACGTTAGTATTAAACTACGAATATACTACTCCAACCAAAGAACGTTATTTCTTGTGATGAAAAACAACTGCACTAGTAAACCAGAATTGATAATGGATCATAGCCCTCTAATATATTTGTACAAATGTAATATTGGTGAGTGTGGGCACCATAATTCTGAATATATTGGTATGACGACGACTAAATTACCGAGAAGACTCACGATGCACGTACAAACTGGCGCTATAAAGAATCACATGAAGGAGAACACATAACTAAAATTACTAGCCATCTAATATATTTGTACAAATGAACTGAAAAATACTGAAAATCAACTAAAAGAAAACAAAAGTAATGATTTCATTAGAAAAAATTGAAAATAGTGTCTAAAGTTAACTGGTCCTGCGTTTCAGAAGCTTGCACTTTTTCTGTGTGTTGCGTTGTTAAAACCTTGGTAAATTAACTCCGAGAGTTGTAAAAAGTGGGGTTGCTGAATTTAATATAAGTGGAAAAAATTTTTTAAAATTTAAAAATTGACAAAATTATGAACATCATCGTTCTATAATCTATTTAAACGGTCTCTTAAGAAATATATCAAAATTATTGTTTGTTTCTTAGATTGATTTTTAACAGATTCTATGAAACTCTTGATAGTTTTTTAAATCTCAATATTTTTAGTTTTTCAAAACAAAACTGTTGACATCATTTTTTATAATATTACATATGGTATTTTTATTAAGGTTAACATTAGTCGGAAGGATAAATTTTTGCAATTTATTTTTCAAAATCACAAATATTATAGCAATACAATAGAAAAATAATAACAACGTTTACTGTTAAAAGTGATTGAATTTTTAACACAAAATTATTTAACACAAAATTATTTAGCATTGATCATAATCATTGTAAGCAGCTAAATGAAATTAAGTATTGCATTTCTTTATTATACATACTCGCCTACTCAGTAGCCGATCTAGACAACTTTGACAAGGGGCCATAGTTTTAAAGAAAATGTTTAAGTTTTGAAATTTAGACTGGGGGCTTACGACAATTTGACGGGGGGCCAAGATTTGTGGTAGCGTGGTCAAAATCAGGCTGGCAAACTTTTTTTACTTATCAAATCAATTTCGTCATAAAACGAGTGCTTTTCTGTTCAAACAATGAGTTGTACTTACTCTAATAAAATTACTGCTCACAACCCCTAGATCCGCTACTGAAAATAGAAATCTAACTCGAGAACCAATTTTGTGCAAATGCTAAAATGGCATTCAAAGCTTTATTGACAGCGCAAGAATTATCATTAGACAAAAAGACTATTTGTGTATGAAGCATCAATCTTAGCTTATACATTAATATTTGATTGATTGGTTAGTTAATTGATTAATTAATAATTAATTTTTTAATTTAGATTCTACAAACTTGACGGTTTTTCAAATCCTTTTTTATTTTTTAAACTCAGAGTCTCAGCGCTTGATGTAAACAGAAATCACTGGATCAAGTGGAACTCATTTGAACTTTCCTACAATTAATTATACGTGCACGCGCACACACACACACACACACACACTATACGTGCACGCACGCACGCACACACACACACACACACACACACACGTGTATGATTTTATTACTAAACGTTTTTGACATTTTAACTAACATTCATTTTTAGCACATTTACCATGGATATATATAATATAGATACGGCAGACGCGTTATATATATGCATATATATACATTGTTAACATATATTTAATATCAAGGTCAATCTAACAAATATTTGTTGAAAAGTGAATTTAAATTAAAGTAATCAGTTATTGGCCAGTTGTTTAGCGATTATCGTTTTAGTTGCTTTTTTGTCAATTTATTGACATTTAATTAGAAAATTTGTCTATAATAAGACGTTTGATTGTAAAAAAATCAATAAAATATCAATTACTACGAAAAAATGTTTAATGTTTACGCGTTTAATTCCATAGAACTAGGAAAAATTATTAGATAGGTAAGAATTATTATGCCATATCCATTATATCCATGAAATTTACTCTAAAACACTTTGGCGGCATTTTCGAAAAATCAAAGTGAACTTTTTTATATGGACGTAAGAAATTTTTTTTCATACATAGACGGATCATAATGTTAAAATTTAATTTGGTATAACAGTTTTTCCTAAATGTTTCAACAATCAAAATTTTTAGTTTTTATCAAAAAATTTTTTTAAATGTTAAATAACTAGGCATTTACATATTAATATATATAATATAATTAGCATTATAAATTCCTAAGTAGGATCTATATACTATTAACTTTAAGTATGAAACAAACATTTCCCAAAAATATTAATGATTTTTATGCATTAGCCTTCAAAAGGTGAAAAAAGATTCATTCACTCTTCTAAGATTCAGAGATATCAACAGTGCGCTATCAGCTTATATGAATACGAGCAAAGCGATGTTTCATACAAAGCAGGTGGTAGGCGGGGGCCCATTTTTCATTCGAACTAGGTTACCGCAAAGTATGACCAAGCGCCATTAGGCCATCACAATTTGTAATATATTAATTAAGATATCAATATTTAATTCGTGCTAATTTTCTTACTAATTAATCAATTTATAAATTTCTATCCAATGTATTTTTACTGAAATGTCAGGTCGATTGTTTTTGTAGCTCCAGAAGTTGTTTATGAATGATTTTTTGTTGACTTGAATATTCCGAATTTAGTCCTGATGTAGAAACTATTTTTTATTTCGTATCATGAATATTATGTATTTTTTATTACTTATATTGCCAATACAAATGTTATCGTTTAAATTAGCGACAAAGTGAAATAATTTATTATTGATCGGTATAATGTGAAATGTGAAAAATGTATTTTAAAATAACACAACGTGATAAAACAGATAAACTAAACGCAGGCTATAAATGTTTTAGTCAGATTTGATGTAATTTTTTTCAATATATTAAAATTTGTTAGTTTCAAATTTAATTTAAATTTAACTGATAGATGGTCATTGTACTGTACGCTTAACGTGTTAGTTACTAAATGAAAGGGATCGAATGTAGAGACAATCCTAATTTTCATACATGCAAAATAAGGTTTGGCGTTTGTCTGATATGTTTTATAAACGATTTTTAATCAATCAACGCATTTTTATTTCTTAAAAAAAAAAAGTTGAGGAGTCAGCCAAGGATGGCAAGTGCCCGGAGTAGCAAAGGCCATTGGCTCGGGCACCCCTCTAACGTAACTACATAAAAATAGCTAAGAATAACCAATAAAAAACAATATAAATAAATTTGGCAAAAACTTCGTATTAACGGTCGTATTTTTGTTGACAAAAGTTCTTTTGTGATTTTGCAATTTGATAACACCGAATTAAGTCGCACCTAGTAGCAACAATATTGATATTTATTTGCAAAAACAGTAGTAATATAGGTATCTGAAAAAAATAGCCAAGTTACCTCGGTGCTGGGTTAATATGAAACACCGGTTTGTTCGTGTCAAATAATTACAAAAAATGGTGTTGTATAAGCTTCTTACAAGGTTTCTTGGTATACGTATTTATTAGAAACATTGTTCAGATAAAACTTTTTGAAATGAGTTAAAAGTGTTTCCATACCTCACTTTGGTGCGTTACACGCTCGGGCGCTAGTCCCTCTCTAGTCTCTACCCCTTGGTCGGCAACACTATGAGTTGAGGTGCTATTGCGTTGTCATATGTCATCTTTGGTCACGCTTTGAGGGCAGGGAAGATGAAAAATTTGACAGATTGCTACAAGGGGGAGGGGAGGAGTAAAATCTTGTGACATCTCAATTTGCTTCGTACTTTTCTAATTTTTATCGCGAATCAATAAAATTTTTGTCAAAAAAAAACGTTATTAAATTTTATATACAATCAGAAATTAGAAACGCACTGAATGCTCAGCTTGGCCAAATATTCGACCGAAATTTGCCGAATGTTGCAATTTTGATGTTACATGACATTTATTCAAGACAGTTGTTGATTATTATTAGCGGAAAATTTATTTTGGCTATTTAGCTGTACAAACATTTTAATTTGAATAAGTGATTGAATATAGCCTTGTTAAAGAATTGTTTGTTTTCTTCAATAACTGGTTTTTCATTCTAAAAAACAATTTGTTTTAGTTTA